TTACTAGTGAAGCTGAACTCCAGACTTAACAGTAAAACTAAACTCCCAAGTTACTAGTGAAGCTGAACTCCAGACTTAACAGTAAAACTAAACTCCCAAGTTACTAGTGAAGCTGAACTCCAGGCTTAACAGTAAAACTAAACTCCCAAGTTACTAGTGAAGCTGAACTCCAGACTTAACAGTAAAACTAAACTTCAAGTTACTAGTGAAGCTGAACTCCAGGCTTAACAGTAAAACTAAACTCCCAAGTTACCAGTGAAGCTGAACTCTCGACTTGACAGAGAAATTCAACTCCAGAATTACCAGCAACACTCAACTCCAGAATTACCAGCAACACTCAGCTCCAGAATTACCAGCAACACTCAACTCCAGAATTATCAGCAACACTCAACTCCAGAATTACCAGCAACACACAACTCCAGAATTACTAGTAACACACAACATCAGAATTACCTCTGACACACAATTCCAGAATTACCAGAAGTATGATCTCTTATCATCTTTGGGAAGAATGTTTACTTCAGCATTTTCAGTGTGCAAAAGTGTGACAAATGTTCACGCAATATTTCAAACGCACACATACTGGTATTTTTACTTTTGATATCAACCAAGTTTTGTTTTTGCTATTATTTTTGTTGCCATAGAAACAAATGGTCATCAATTATGTAATCAACACTACCACAAATTGTTTTTTGAAAAAAAAGTGAAATAAACAAAATCTCTGTGATTAGTCTTTGGTAGTTTTTTTTTAACATTTATGATGTGATACAATGAACATTGAAACCTGCTAATTGAAAGTAGGCTACAAGTCCTCTTTACCTGATGTATGATGTTTTATTTCCTCTACTGATAAACACTGATGTGAGAACCATGTTTTGTACCTCGTTAGTTCTATTGGATAATGACTGGATGCAGCATGTGCCTCATTAAAACAACATAATACCGCATTACATTATTTGTCTTTGAACTTTCATTAATATCCATGTGTTGTTTGTTATAACAGAGGTGTCATAATGACAGGATTATCAGAATTCTTATCTCAAAGCCATCCACACCTCTATAAAAACTTAATTCCCTTGTACTTTTATAGACGGTTGATTCCACCAAAAGTGTAAATAAATTTCGCCTTGTTTTTATCTCACCATAGCTGTCACATGCCTAAACATACTTTACAGTGTAGTTTAAGAGTAAACTCGAGGTGTAAAGCCATCTGCTGGCCAACATCAAGGGCACCATTTTGCCTGTTTATTTCACATAGAATTAGTTATAGGCTTTTTCACTGTGATCTACCTTTATTGACTCAAGTGGCAGACAATTGAAGTTTTTTTTTTCTTGTTTCTCTTCTGTACTGTGTATGTACTGCACATCGTTTGTTTTCTCTTTTATCGTATTCAAATTCCCTTTGACTTAAAAAAAAATTTCATTCCATTAATTTCATCTAACATGCTTTATAAAAAAGACACGAGAAGAACATTGTGATGCTGTGCCTATGATGAATATTCCATTCCATTCCGAGTAGTTTGTTGAATGATTCAGTTGAAACTCTAGATAAGAATCTTTTGACAGGTGGAATAATCTCATGTGGACTAAATACCATTTGATTTATAATGGATCTGTACTTTGTACGTTTATTAAGCATGTTGATCACTCAAACTTGTATGTAATGATGCTATGAATATTCAGATAAAAGTTTGTCATTTGTTTTGTTACATCTTCAGCAATTTCTTTGAGAGAATATTTCTCTGAAGTTGGACAACTTGGCATCTATGGAAGTAGGAAATGTTTAGTGGTAACACTTTGAAGAATGGTCTTTAATGTTACCTTGTAAGGCTAGAATATAACATCAAATTAATTCTATATATTTAACAACAAATGTGTAACAAGTAATAAGTGACTTCGGTTTGAGGTTTTGTAGTATAAGTTTGAGGTTTTGTAGTATAAGTTTGAGGTTTTGTAGTATAAGTTTGAGGTTTTGTAGTATAAGTTTGAGGTTTTGTGGTTTTAGATGAAGGTTATGTGGTTTGGTTTTTAGGTTATGTGGTTTTAGTTGAAGTTATGTGGTTTTAGTTGAAGGTTATGTGGTTTGGTTTGAGGATTTGTGGTTTTGGTTTGAGGATTTGTGATTTTGGTTTGAGGATTTGTGGTTTTGGTTTTTGGTTATGTGGTTTTAGTTGAAGGTTATGTGGTGTGGTTTAAGAATTTGTGGTTTTGGTTGAGGATTTGTGATTTTGGTTTGAGGATTTGTGGTTTTGGTTTTAGGTTATGTGGTTTTAGTTGAAGTTATGTGGTTTTAGTTGAAGGTTATGTGGTTTGGTTTGAGGATTTGTGGTTTTGATTATGTAAAGATTCTCTATACACAACCAGGAATTTTAATATGTGACGTTTCAGTGACCAGTACGATCCATACGCTGTCACCTTCTTCAGACAAATGACCAGTAAAGCATGTACACAAAGGTGTGATATGTGTATGAGTTGTTGAGGAATAGCGTCAATTTCAGACATGCTGACAAGTGCCGAAATGACTGTTAGCGAATGGTAGCCGATTGGTTTTACTATTCGCTATGCTGACAAGTGCCGAAATGACTGTTAGCGAATGGTAGCCGATTGGTTTTACTATTCGCTAACAGAGGATTTGTGGTTTTGGTTTTAGATTATGTGGTTTTAGTTGAAGGTTATGTGTTTTTTTTTTGGTTTTTAGATTATGTGGTTTTAGTTGAAGGTTATGTGGTTTTGGTTTTTTAGGTTATGTGGTTTTAGTTGAAGGTTATGTGGTTTGGTTTGAGGATTTGTGGTTTTGGTTTGAGGATTTGTGGTTTTAGTTGAAGTTATGTGGTTTTAGTTGAAGGTTATGTGGTTTGGTTTGAGGATTTGTGATTTTGGTTTGAGGATTTTTGGTTTTGGTTTTAGGTTATGTGGTTTTAGTTGAAGTTATGTGGTTTTAGTTGAAGGTTATGTGGTTTGGTTTGAGGATTTGTGATTTTGGTTTGAGGATTTGTGGTTTTGGTTTTAGGTTATGTGGTTTTAGTTGAAGTTATGTGGTTTTAGTTGAAGGTTTTGGTTTTGGTTTGAGGATTTGTGGTTTTGGTTTTAGGATTTGTGATTTTAGTTTTATGTGGTTTTAGTTGAAGTTATTGGTTTTAGGTTATGTGGTTTTAGTTTTAGGTTATGTGGTTTTAGTTATGTGGTTTTAGTTGAAGGATTTGTGAGGTTTGTGGTTTTAGTTGAGTTATGTGGTTTTAGTTTTATGTGGTTTTGGTTTGTGAGGTTATTTGTGGTTTTAGTTGAAGTTATGTGGTTTTAGTTGAAGGTTATGTGGTTTGGTTTGAGGATTTGTGATTTTGGTTTGAGGATTTTTGGTTTTGGTTTAAGGTTATGTGGTTTTAGTTGAAGTTATGTGGTTTTAGTTGAAGGTTATGTGGTTTGGTTTGAGGATTTGTGATTTTGGTTTGAGGATTTTTGGTTTTGGTTTAAGGTTATGTGGTTTTAGTTGAAGTTATGTGGTTTTAGTTGAAGGTTATGTGGTTTGGTTTGAGGATTTGTGATTTTGGTTTGAGGATTTGTGATTTTGGTTTGAGGATTTGTGGTTTTGGTTTTAGGTTATGTGGTTTTAGTTTTTGGTTATGTGGTTTTAGTTGAAGGTTATGTGGTGTGGTTTAAGAATTTGTGGTTTTGGTTGAGGATTTGTGGTTTTGGTTTGAGGATTTGTGGTTTGGTTTTAGGTTATGTGGTTTTAGTTGAAGTTATGTGGTTTTAGTTGAAGGTTATGTGGTTTGGTTTGAGGATTTGTGGTTTTAGTTTTTGGTTATGTGGTTTTAGTTGAAGGTTATGTGGTGTGGTTTAAGAATTTGTGGTTTTGGTTGAGGATTTGTGATTTTGGTTTGAGGATTTGTGATTTTGGTTTTAGGTTATGTGGTTTTAGTTGAAGTTATGTGGTTTTAGTTGAAGGTTATGTGGTTTGGTTTGAGGATTTGTGATTTTGGTTTGAGGATTTGTGATTTTGGTTTGAGGATTTGTGATTTTGGTTTGAGGATTTGTGGTTTTGGTTTTAGGTTATGTGGTTTTAGTTTTTGGTTATGTGGTTTTAGTTGAAGGTTATGTGGTGTGGTTTAAGAATTTGTGGTTTTGGTTGAGGATTTGTGGTTTTGGTTTGAGGATTTGTGGTTTTGGTTTTAGGTTATGTGGTTTTAGTTGAAGTTATGTGGTTTTAGTTGAAGGTTATGTGGTTTGGTTTGAGGATTTGTGATTTTAGTTTTTGGTTATGTGGTTTTAGTTTTTGGTTATGTGGTTTGGTTTGAGGATTTGTGGTTTTAGGTTTTGGTTATGTGGTTTGGTTTGAGGATTTGTGGTTTTAGTTTTTGGTTATGTGGTTTTAGTTTTTGGTTATGTGGTTTGGTTTGAGGATTTGTGGTTTTGGTTTGAGGATTTTTGGTTTTGGTTTGAGGATTTGTGGTTTTGGTTTTAGGTTATGTGGTTTTAGTTGAAGTTATGTGGTTTTAGTTGAAGGTTATGTGGTTTGGTTTGAGGATTTGTGGTTTTAGTTTTTGGTTATGTGGTTTTAGTTTTTGGTTATGTGGTTTGGTTTGAGGATTTGTGGTTTTGATTTTAGGTTATGTGGTTGTAGTTGAAGGTTGTGTGGTTTTAGTTGAAGGTTATGTGGTTTTGGTGTTTAGGTTTTGTGGTTTTGGTTTTTAGGTAATGTGGTTTTAGTGGAAGGTTATGTGGTTTGGTTTTAGGATTTGTGGTTTTGGTTTGAGGATTTTTGGTTTTGGTTTAAGGTTATGTGGTTTTAGTTGAAGGTTGTGTGGTTTTAGTTGAAGGTTATGTGGTTTGGTTTAAGGATTTGTGGTTTTGGTTTTTAGGTTATGTGGTTTTAGTTGAAGGTTATGTGGTTTGGTTTGAGGATTTGTGGTATAAGTTTGAGGTTTTTGTGGTTTTAGTTGAAGGTTATGTGGTTTTAGTTGAAGGTTATGTGGTTTTAGTTGAAGGTTATATGGTTTGGTTTAAGGATTTGTGGTATAAGATTGAGGTTTTTGTGGTTTTGGTTTGAGGATTTGTGGTTTTGGTTTTAGGTTATGTGGTTTTAGTTGAAGGTTATGTGGTTTTAGTTGAAGGTTATGTGGTTTTAGTTGAAGGTTATGTGGTTTTGGTTTTAGGATTTGTGGTTTTGGTTTGAGGATTTGTGATTTTGGTTTGAGGATTTGTGGTTTTGGTTTGAGGATTTGTGGTTTTGGTTTTAGGTTATGTGGTTTTAGTTGAAGGTTATGTGGTTTTAGTTGAAGGTTATGTGGTTTTGGTTTAAGGATTTGTGGTTTTGGTTTGAGGAATTGTGGTTTTGGTTTTAGGTTATGTGGTTTTGGTTTGAGGAGTTGTGGTTTTGGTTTGAGGATTTGTGGTTTTGGTTTTAGGTTATGTAGTTTTGGTTTGAGGTTTTCTGGTATTGGTTTGAGGTGTAGTGATTTTGGTTTGAGGTTATATGGTTTATTTGTTAGGCCTATGGGAATTGTTTGCTCTGGTTTCTAGCAGGTATAGGAGTTAATTTATTCAAAGCTGTCATAGCTTTGCAAAAATTCAGTTTTTAGGTTCCCTGAGACAAAGTCTAAAGTCACCTATTGCGATTGCTTTTTGTCTGGCGTTTTCCGTTGTCTGTCACAACTGACATTTTCGACTTCTTCATTATAACCAAAAGGTCACGAGTGCTGATATTGGGCCTGTAGCATGCTGGGATGAAGGGCTACTAAATTTGTTAAGATAAATGACCTTGGCCTACTCTCAAGGTTATAGGCGTCAAATATTTTAAAATGATTTCTCAATGAACAAAAGGCACAGGATGCTGATATTGAGCGTGTAGCATGCAGGCATGAAGTACTACCAAAATTGTCCATATTATTGACTTTGACCCACTTTCAAGGCCACAGGTGTCAAATGTGTTAAATTCTATAAACGACTTCTTCCCGATTGCATAAATGAATGACCTTGGCCTGCTTCCTTGCAATGGCCAAGATCAAGGAAGATGGTTTCACTAAAGGGATGGGACCACTGACAGACATCTTTATAGTGCCACCACACTGAAATAAGCAATACACGACAGCCTGACACCCAACCTTATCTCATTATACTTGTATTGTTGGGGTTATGATTAAGATATGTAATCAGTAATATGTCTGCAATCAAACTATCATTCTAACAGTGATTGATCAATCATGTATCAAAGAATCTTACTAACACATATAGTGCTGACCATAGATTAGGGATTGTATTGAATATTTCCTTGTAGTCCTTTTCAATGCAAACTAATGAGACAGTATGCAATATAGTTTTTTTTTTTGTTTCTAAGACTCAGCAGAGATAGTTATCTCAAAAGGCAGCTCACCAAACAGTGATAAAATATATCTAAAGGCAGCTCACCAAACAGTGATAAATTCTATTTAAAGGCAGCTAACCCAACAGTGATAAAACTATATCTAAAGGCAGCTCACCCAACAGTGATAAAACTATATCTAAAGGCAGCTCACCCAACAGTGATAAAACTATATATAAAAGCAGCTCACCAAACAGTGATAAAACATATATAGACAGAACTCACAAAACAGTGATGGAATTTCTCTAAAGGGAGCTCACCCATCAGTGATAAAATATACCTAAAGGCAGCTCACCAAACAGTGATAAAACTATATATAAAAGCAGCTCACCAAACAGTGATAAAACATATATAGACAGAACTCACAAAACAGTGATGGAATTTCTCTAAAGGGAGCTCACCCATCAGTGATAAAATATACCTAAAGGCAGCTCACCAAACAGTGATAAAATATTTTAGAGAGAGCTTACTGAAGTAATGAAATAGATCTTAAGTGAAGTCACTAAACAGTGATAATACATATCTGGAAGGGAGCTCACTAAACAGTGATAATACATATCTGGAAGGGAGCTCACTAAACAGTGATAATACATATCTGGAAGGGAGCTCACTAAACAGTGATAATACATATCTGGAAGGGAGCTCACTAAACAGTGATAATACATATCTGGAAGGGAGCTCACTAAACAGTGATAATACATATCTGGAAGGGAGCTCACTAAACAGTGATAATACATATCTGGAAGGGAGCTCACTAAACAGTGATAATACATATCTGGAAGGGAGCTCACTAAACAGTGATAATACATATCTGGAAGGGAGCTCACTAAACAGTGACAATACATATCTGGAAGGGAGCTCACTAAACAGTGATAAAATACATATCTAAAGGCATATTACCAAACAGTGTTGGAATACATTAAGCAGCAATGCTACTACATGATTTAATCAATAATATTGGACACTTTTAAAGGACACAGTGATTACCCAATAATGAAATAAAACCAAATGATTACAGTAGCTTAACCTTTACACTAATTATAAAAAACACATGTTTCAACACAACAAAAAATACTTCAGAAATTGATCCGCCAATTCGTGTTATGATTAAGCTGCATTAGGAATAACGGATTTCCCCTATATTTCCGTTTCTACAATTGGTTTTTCACACACTTAAAGATAAAAAAGCTTTGTTACAATGTACTAGATTGCGTGTAGTCCAAACTTATACAATAGTCACACATAGTCACATATTCCTTTTTTCTACTCGCTACATTTAAAGCCACATAAAAAGAAGGAGCCCTGTTCTGACGGTTCTGGTTTGATGTCCTTTGGCTGTTGTTTTTTTTATCCTGATCCTTTTACATGGCTTTGATTATGGATAATAGACCCTATTCAGTAACCCGCAATGAACTGTTATTTCATTATAACATAAATATCTTTGTGAACAGGAAGCTTTGATATTTTACCCATTATGTTCTCTGTGACATCAAAGGGAGATAAGTATAGATTCCTGTGTCTAAGCTATACACAGGATGGTCTCTTTCATCTTCTATGCGAGTGTTTTAGCATATATTCTTATATATGTGCCTTTATATGTAGATGTCCTTTTTAATGTATTTTTCAGTTTTTCTAGGAAATAAAACAGGATACTAGAAGGTATATATATATACTTGTATGAAGTGTCTTTTGATGTAACATCTTGTTTAGTTTTACGGCAAGCAACATTCTAGTACTACAATTGCTGACATAAAGAGATAAGAAGCCATCATTTTATATTATGTGTTCAAACTCATCACTTGACCTCTGTGTTTCGACTCTTTCTCTATCAAGCTCACCTAAAGGTGGCCCACTATCAAATTTGGTCTGTAGTTTTTTTTTCTTTTGCTCAATTGAAAGACCTGAACCCCCTTTCAAGGTCAAATACACCAAATGTTTGGAAACATTTGATTAATTCTGAATTAGAAACACACACAGGATCATGTTATTTTACCAGTAGTATGCTTCAGTGTTCGCCGATCAAGTTTTTTTTAATTCAATATTTTGCACAGCTTTCAAAGTAAAAACGTCAAAAAAGTTAAATTCTAAGACCAAGTGACCCGAGGTCCTGATGAGTAGCAAGGGGTATAGCTATGTATGACCTAATTCCAATTATACAACGTCAAGGTCTTGTGAATCATACGTATAAAAGAAATCATTTTATGAATTTTAACCCCCCCCCCCCTCCCCCTAGCAAAGAGGTCCAGCATAGATCATTTTTGCCAATAACACGGTGCAACGAAGATCTATTCAATTCAGATTCAAATTAAATGATTTTAAATTAAAGTTAAAAAATAAGCTGTTGTTTGGGAAGCCCTGTTCTTCACTCATCCTCGATACTCCAGTGGGGAATCATTTGGTTGTCCTTACTCTAGCGGTCTCTAACTCTTGGATCGTCCTCAGCCTAGCCTTGTCTAACAGCCATAGTTGTTGCCCGCCGTTGTTTGAGAAACTCCGAAGTTGACCACAACCAAACAGTGTTTAACAGACAGAGTTGTTTCCCTCTGTAAGAGAGTCTAACAGACAGAGATGTTGCCCTCTGTAAGGGAGTCTAACAGAGAGAGTTGTTGCCCTCTGTAAGGGAGTCTAACAGAGAGAGTTGTTGCCCTCTGTAAGGGAGTCTAACAGACAGAGTTGTTGCCCTCTGTAAGGGAGTCTAACAGAGAGAGTTGTTGCCTCTGTAAGAGAGTCTAACAGACAGAGTTGTTGCCCTCTGAAAGAGAGTCTAACAGACAGAGATGTTGCCCTCTGTAAGAGAGTCTAACAGACAGAGTTGTTGCCCTCTGTAAGAGAGTCTAACAGACAGAGATGTTGCCCTCTGTAAGAGAGTCTAACAGACAGAGTTGTTGCCCTCTGTAAGAGAGTCTAACAGAGATGTTGCCCTCTGTAAGAGAGTCTAACAGACAGAGATGTTGCCCTCTGTAAGAGAGTCTAACAGACAGAGATGTTGCCCTCTGTAAGAGAGTCAAACAGACAGAGTTGTTGCCCTCTGTAAGGGAGTCTAACAGAGAGAGATGTTGCCCTCTGTAAGAGAGTCTAACAGACAGAGTTGTTGCCCTCTGTAAGAGAGTCAAACAGACAGAGATGTTACCTGCCAATACTAATGCTACTCAAGAAGAAGAAGGAGAAGATGGAAATTTCAGCGTAGTTTGTTCTTGTCAAACTACAAATGTATGAGATTTGACCGAGATAATCCGATTTGGGCTAGTGCAATGTAAGATCGTATAGCTCAAGATCTGGTGTTCATGGTCGTAGTAAATGATATTGCTTTACATGCAAACATATTACGTGACAAGCTATGTTTGCCTTTACAACACCATCAACGTCATAACGAGACGGTACAATACTTATACGTGTATTCGCATTCCCTATGTAAATTATTTCTTGATTAAAACTAGAATAAGTTATTCTTTATCGACATCGTAATCCATCGTGTAGAACAGCCATAATACACACAGTAATAGTGCTGGACACTCATACCTTTCTAAATCCATCCCCTGGTAATTGTAAATCGTGCATTGTCCTGTAAGTATAGATAATTAGTTATAGACGCCAATCTTGTGCGTTTTGACCAATCATATTAAAATATACTTTCGCACTTCCGGTGTGTATTGATATGTCTATAGTTAAGTATAGAGTATATAACATCTTAGCATTTGGAACCACGGACTTAAGACATTTCTGCATTGTATCTATATTTGAACGAAGTTTATCTATTATTTATTTATTTCATCGAATATATGTATATCATTTCACTTAAGTAGCAATAATTTTGATTAGATACATAAATCAATGAATTTCTAACATATTAAAGGATGAGCGACTCGCTAAATCTTAAGTGTGTTCGGAAACATAACATTCCTTAAGGCCTGTTGCAGGGCTTGTCTCCGGTTGGCGCTTATGTAGAGACACGGAAAGCGGCGATACCCCTCTATGATGATGAGCCATTGATTAGTGTTAAATCAACGGTAATTACGAAGAAAGGGTGCTCGGTCAGGCATGAATGAACAAAGGTAAACATACACTGGCCATCGAGCGAGGAGGATGTTGCATCGTTATAATGGATTGTCCTTTTAATCATCCAATAATTTGGCCAATGATCACAGTATCTTTACAACGCCACGAACGACCCGATCGTTTATTGCGCTACTTTTCTTCTACGTTAGAATTGTTTAAAGGTTCCGTAAAAGACACCGGGTTGTCGGTCCTTCCAATTAACTTCGACACCATAGCTATGTAGAAGACTATATTTTTATATAACATCGGGGATAAAGGTGAGAGAGGAAACGAAACTATTAACAGTACGGTCGCGTGCTGACCGCGTGACGAGCGAGTGGAGGGTGAAATGGTTTTTCATTATGTGTGTAGACTACCTTGATGTTCGCAATTCCAAGAAAGGAAAAAGAAACCATTTTCTTTTACGAACTGACAAAAGTGTTTCAAGTCTTTCTTCCTGATGTCTTTCATGTGGAAGATTTACGATAATATCGTGCAGCCTTCTACTTTATCCACTACTTGTAAGTGGAGCACATAGTTTTATTAATGAATATATAGAACAAGATTGAGGGAAATCACAGCGGCTTTAAACCCTGTTTGGCGTTGAAAGAGTCTACTGGCTTGAATGTTTTGTGAAATTAAGACGATGACTGC